TGAGAATAGGGTTAATACTATTTGGAACAATCTTCCCGAATCAGTGGTGTCAGCTCCAAACGTGGACACATTTAAGAGACGTCTGGACGAATACTGGAAAGATCTCCCAACTATTTACAACCCCACCTGCCAAAACTGATTTGTCTAGCCTGCACGCAATGCATTATTGTCGTTCATTACCAGATAGTTGAACAGGCTCTACTTAGAGCCTCAAACAACTAAATCCAAAATTCAAAATTTCCTACCAACTGAAAATATTAGGTGTGTCCCGCGCGCTCATATGACCTATGTAGTTGCGAGCGCCGTAAAACACTTTACAAAAACAAACAAACAACTAAATCGTCAATGCCAATGTCAATGTTTTACCATACATTGTAGCATTGTATAGACTTCTTTGCATCACTCAACTTTACTAAAGCCTTGATGTGTTCTAAAAAGCTAGAATTTTAAGCATCTTTTTTTCTTTGAACTCCTACAGTTTTAAGTAACTTGTGCGGTCGGTCGTTACACTCTCAGTATTGGTTATAACCTGTTAATTTTTGTGCAAAACTAGTTATAACGACCAACACATTAGTGTGTTTTATCACAGGTGCTAGCTTTTTATAGGCTTCTTTGCATTATTAAACTCTATCCACGCGTAGACATGTTCTGAAAAGTTGAAATCATCCTTATTTCTTTACTCTCCAACAGGTTGTCATAACTTTTGCGGTCGGTCGTAACACTCACAGTATTTATTATAATCTACTAGTTTTTGTGCATACCTAGTGTTGCAACAACCAACACATTAATGTGATTTACTACTGGTTTTTAGCTTTTTAAAAGCCTCTTTGCACGACTTAGCTCTACCCAAGTCTTGAGATGTTCTAAAAAGCTGGAAGCATCTTTATCCTTGCTCTCTTATAGTTTTGAGTAACTTGTGCGGTCGGTCGTTACACTCTCAGTGTTGGTTATAAAATGTTATTTTTGTACATGCCTTAGTCAGATGTGAAGTAAATATTAGTATTAGTCAAGGCTATATATTATTGCCTGTGCTTTTTGGAATTGAGATCGATTTTGTAATAAGTATAAGACCGGGTAAATACATTGAAACATGCATTGGATGGACAAATGGCACATATTTAGGATATTTAGATTTTGCGGATGACATCTGACTATTAAACACCACAGCACATGAAATGCAATCAAAAACAGACGAACTAGAAACCGTTTCAGAAAAGTTGGCTTTACAACAAATTTATGTATCTAAAACAAAAGTGCAACGATTACCATCAGAAACTGCACCCATCACTATTTATGGAGAACCTCTAGCAGAAATTAATAAATTCAAGTACCTTGGCAGCATTATATCCAAAACTTGACGACGTCCACCAAGACTTTAAAATGCATGGATCGCTTTTGTTAAATTGAAAACTATAGGCCTATAGAAGTCAAAGATAATTTTATAGACGATGAAAATAAAAATATGATAGCAATATTTGGCTTTATTGACGTATGGTTCGGAGATAATATGGAAAACAAACAAAAAAATTCAACGAAAATTAAAAAGCCCCCAAACAAAATGTTTACGAAAAATTTTACTACATAAAATGGAACGAATTTATTACAAACAATGAAGTGTAATGGAAAGAGCTGGAATTGAAGATATCAACATAACCATAAAAAGAAAATGGAGATATTTGGGACATGTTTTAAGGATACCGAAGACAAGATTGCCCTGTCAGAAAAGATATTGGAAACCAACTGGAAGAAAAAAATGAGGAAGACCAATTGGACGCTATAGAGGCACAATAAGGGATGAGACTATCACTCGGGTGTGACTTTGCCGAAATAGGAGGACGTGGCCAGGGACAGACAAGCGTGGTGTCGACTGATCTCCTGACGGTATAGGGAGAGAGTAAGTAAGTTAGTCAGATTATTGTGTTTCACCCTACGTGCTAGCATTATATAGACTTTCCCAGCGGCTCAAATCTATCCAAACATAAATTATGTATTCTAGCAAGCTGGAAGCATCTTAATTTTTTTACCCTCCTAGTGTTTTGAGTGTGGTCGATCGTTACACACTCAGTATTGGTAATAGTATTAGTTTACCGCCTAATTTTTACAACCAAGACATTGGTGTGTTTTATCACATTTTGTTAACTTGTTATAGGCTACTTTGCACGGCTGAGTACTATGCAAATCCAGATATATTTTGAAAACTGGAAGCATCTTTATTTCTTTGTCCTCCTACTGTTACGATTAACTTATGCGGTCGGTCGTTACAATCTCAGTACTGATTTTAATTTATTAGCTTTTGTGTATGGCTAGTTGTATTTACCAACACATTAAAGTTTGTTGGGTTTGTTTTTTTTACCACGGGTGTTAGCTTTTTTATAGGCTTCTCTGCACGATTAAACTCAGCCCAAGCCTAGGTGTGTTTTAAAAGGCTGGAATCATCTTTATTTCTTTGTACTTCTAGTTTTGAGTAACTCGTGCGGTCGGTCGTGACACTCCCAGAAGC